AAGGGCAGGTGGGCAGAAGCAGACACGCCTAGGGTCAGGCCCTCATGGTGGATGCTCCCTGAGGCCCAAGTCCTGTGGGGACACCACCACTGTCACCTTGCCCTGAAGGTAGGCATCCTGGGGGGTCTTTCCCACAACTGCCACAGGTAGGCCCTGGGCTACCAAAGGCTTCCCAAGGGACTCATACACTGCTCAGAGCCAAACACAGCTAGGTCCGGGGCTGAACGGCACAGATGGGGTTCCATTTCCTCCAGGCCCTGAATGGGGCTTGCACTGTTGTTTGCTCTGGGTCTGATGCTGTGCCTGACAGAGCCATGGAGCCCTCGGCACGAGTCTGCCTCCTCGTGGACAATCCCAGGGGGAAGTAAGGAATAGGTGGCAACGAGACCATTCTTCACGGTGGGGCTGGGGCCCTGGGAGCCCAGCCTCGGGTGGTCTCAGGGCTCAAGGTCATCTGGGGAGCAGCCAGTGGGCAGGCGGGGGTGGCCCTGAGCTGGCCCGCTCCCCAGGCATTGACAATGCACTGCCTCTGCTGCAGGCGGCCGCCGGGACTGTCCTCCAGGGTCGTGTCCGCACAGGGTCCCTGCTGGCTCGCGGGCAGAAACGGGGGGGGGGGGGGGGGGTCTCTTACATCACAGAATAAGGCCCCTTCATGCCTGAACCGAAGCCCCTGAAAAAGTCTGGCCGAACCCAAGGGGAGAAACGGGAAGGAGACAGATGCCTGCCTTTTGAAGGCGTGGAGTTTACCACACACACCAGCGAGTATGTGAGGCCCGCCTGTGCAGCTCCAGAACAGCAAGGAGACAGACGACCGCCAGCTACTGCCAGTGCCTCACCTGCACGGGCCACCACAGCCGCTCTGAGCCGCACGCCACAAGGTCGGTAACGCCAGAACAGAGCTACGACGTTCGTCAGCCCCGGGCAGGGTCCCGGAAGTCAGCGTGGCCACCGCACTGGGCATGCCCCACTCATCACAGAAGATTCTGGGGCAGAGCCCTATGTCAGGCGCTCAGAGAAAGACCCTCCCCGTGGGTCCAGGTCTCCTACAAGACATTCTGGGGGCCCACCACCACCTGGGAGTCACCGTGAGATTCCGAGCGGGAACACACGGCGCCCCAGTGAGACTTCACCCCTGCAGGCGGCGGAGGCGACTCCCTGGGCTGGGGGCTTCCACGGTGGAACCACGCTTCTCAGCTCTGCAGGCTGAGGTCCAGAGAGAGTGTGACCTCTTCCGGGTTCAGGGATGGCGACCTCTGTCCCTGCATGGTGCGTGGGCCAGAGCACTCCCTGGAGCCCCTCTCAGGAGGACACTAATCCTTTAGGGGCTCCAGCCTTGAGAGGTAACCCCCCACAGGCCACACTGGTCACCATCGGACATGACCTAAGGTGGACGGACGGCCCCGCTCCTCCCCGGGGCCTTACTCTGTCCAGGACTAGAGACACGTCTGTGCGCCAGTTAAGAGAGACAGTCGGCTCGGCGACACCAGCCACGTCCCCGTCCCACACGGCGTCCCCCTGCCCCAAACCCAAGGGAGACCATCGGCTCGGGGACGCCGGCCACGTCCCCGTCCCGCACACAGTGTCCCCCTGCCCGAAACCCAAGGCCAGAGCAGCCAGCAGGTCAGGGCTGAGGCTCCCGCAGGAGGCAGTCCGCAGGTGACACGCAGCGGCCGTGCCTGAGACGCAGCCTCCCCCGCTCCCCCCCCCCCGCTCCCCCCGCCCCCGCCCCCCGCGGTCTCCGCCGAGACCGGAGCGCCAGGCTGGTCTCTCGAGGTTCGCGACCACACGGCCGAACCGCTTTCAGCCGAGGCAGACACTCACTCAGAGACACACGGCCAAGTCCGGGGTCTTCACGGCAACCGCCGAGCGGCCGTATCACGGAGGACTCCTGAGACGCCGGGTAGCAAAGGCGGAAGGCGGACGGCGGCGTTGCCTCACAAGCTCTCTTCCGCAACACCGCCCGCGGCGAGCTCGCTCACGGCGCCGCGGGCCCTCGGCCACCACCTGCCGCCCCCGAGGGCACTCGAGGAGGCGGGCGCGGCGGCCTGGCAGGTTCCAGCGGGACCGAAGGCCGGAGGGTCGGAGCCGCGCCAGGAGCCGGGCCGCCGACCCGGCCCAATATGGCGGCTCCCCGAGGAGAAAGGCCGGCGCCGGCGCCGGCCCCGCCCCCGCCCCGTGAGCGGCACGTGCCTCCGCGGGGCGACGAGGGAGAGCCGGCCGCCGGGACCCCGCCCCAGCCCGTGGCTCGCGTCCCCGGAGCGCGTCTCCTCGCCGTGGCTCTCGTCCGCGGTGCCACGGGCCTGGCCTGGAGTTCTCCCGTGACGAGAGAGGGTGTCCCCGGCCCACGCGGCAGCGGGAGGACAGCCCGGCCGAGAGCCCTGCCCCTGTGGCGGGGGGGGGGGGGGGGACGGGGGTCACTAGGATCTGACTGGAGACACTTCCCTCACCCCGAACCTCCCGCGCCCACCAGCGGGTGCTCTCCCTTCCCGGCGCAGCCCTTCGGCCCAGAGTCCGCTCTGCGTCTCATTTTCCGTCCTCGAGCCCTTCCACAGAAAGGGAATCACCCGGTAAGTGGTCGTTCCCACCTGCTCCTCTCAGGTTTCGTGTTTCTGAGGCTCCTCCAGCCACACCCTGCCGTCCCTGAGCAGGGCTCCACCCCACGACAGGCCATGCTGCCCCCCTGCACAGTGGCCACCGGACAGCTGCCCCACGTCCACCCTGGGGCTGCTGTAAATGCACTCCCAATACTGGTTCACGTGTTTTCCGTAGACGGGTCAGTCCTCACGGGTACGCCCCTAGGAACTAGGGTCTCAGCTTTGTGACTTTTTAAATTTTTTTTTCAACGTTTTTTATTTATTTTTGGGACAGAGAGAGACGGAGACACAGAATCGGAAACAGGCTCCAGGCTCCGAGCCATCAGCCCAGAGCCCGACGCGGGGCTCGAACTCACGGAGCGCGAGATCGTGACCTGGCTGAAGTCGGACGCTTAACCGACTGCGCCACCCAGGCGCCCCACAGCTTTGTGACTTTTTAGCAAGCGGCAACACTGTCCTTCCCACGTTCAACCCATCACCGCCTGTCCTGCACAGGACGGCTGTCCCAGTAGAAGCGGCAACCCCACTCTCTTCTGCTTTTCCCCAGGGACGGAGGACGCTGAGCACCTCTTTCCGGTGCTCGCATGCCTTCTTTGGAGGAGCGTCTAACTCAACTCCTTTCCATCTTCACTTGGGTCGTCTTGTTAGCGTTCCTTCTAGATTCTGGATACCGATCCTTTTATCAACATGATCCGCCAACACTTCTCCCCGTCTGTAGCTTCTCTCATTCACGATAGCTCATGATACAACTTTTTGGCATTGGTGACCTCTAACGTGTCAGCCTGGCCTTTTATGGATTCGCTTTTGGGGGTAGTATAGGAGAAATCTCTGCGAACCCAGGGTCACGAAGACTCTCACTTAGGATTTCTTCCGAGTTTTCCAGTGTTAGCCCTTACATTCAGGTTTGTCCATGGGGCACTCTGAGTTAGTATTTGTATACAGTAAAGGGCCAAACTACATCCTTCTGCATGTGGATATCAAATTTTTCCAGCTTCATGTACTCATCTTCTCCCTGTTGAGCTGCCTTGGTGCCTCTGAGGAAAACCAACTTACCGTGAATGTTAAGTGCTGATTTCAGGATCCTCATTTGTAATTCCAGAGAGAGACTGATCTAGACAGATCCTTATACCACTAACACACTATTTTAATTATGGTACATTTACAGGAAGTTCTGAAATCAGGAAGAACTTTATCCAATTTTGTTTTCACTATTCCTTTGGGAATATTGGGAGGCTTTTGTATGTCCCTAAAAATTTTAGGGTCGGCTTAATTTCTGCAACAAAGCCTGCAGGGATTCTCAGAACGATCTCCATATTAATAACCAATGAGTCTTCCAACCCACGAACATGAAATCCCTAATGTTTGCAGTCTTCAGTGTACGATCTTGTATTAAATTTATTCCCAAGTACTTTAATCTTTTTGATGTTGTATGGATAGAATTAATTTCATTTCAGAAAGTTCACTAGTATATAGAAAAATGTGGTTGACATCTACATATAGATCTAGGTTTCCATCATGTTGAATTCATTAGCCCGTAAGATTTTTCACAGAATCATGTCATCTGCAATAAAAACTTTTCTCTCTGGATGCTATTTTGTTCTCACTGGACTCCAGTACAATGTTGAGTAGAAAGGATGAGCGTGGATGCCCTTGACGTTCCTGATCCTACGAGAAACACAGTCATTCTGCCATCACTGGGTACGATGTTAGCTGTAGATTATTTTGTTTTTAAGATTTTGTTTTTAAGTGATCTCTACGGCCAACTTGGGACTTGAACTCACAACACTGAGATCAAGAGTAGCACGCTCCGGGGAATGAGCCAGCCAGGTGCCCCAGCTGTAGATTTCTTATGGAGGTGCTTCATCAGGCTGAGAAAATTCCCTCCTTTCCCACATTTTTTGTTTTTATTATGAATGGGTATTACATTTTGTCAAATGCTTTTTTCCCACCTGTTGAGCTGACTTGTGCCTTCTGTCTTCTGTTAATATGGTGGAATGAATACATCTGGTTTCTGATATTAAAACTCACTTGGTCATGTACCTTAACCCATTCTATACAGGGACACCTTGTTTATAGCTCTTCACAAGTACTGCTTTTTTTAAGATCAAAGGTTTGTATCAACCCCGCATCGGAGGTCTATCGGCATTTTCAACAGCATCTACTCACTTCTTATCTGTGCATCACATTTTGGTAATTCTTACAATATTTCAACCTTCATTATTATTATATTTGTTATGGCTATCTGGGATTAGTGATTAGAACTCGCTGAAAACCTCAGATAATGGTTAGCATTTTTAGCAGTATTTTTAAATAAGGTATGTACCTATTTTTTAGACATAATGCTATTTCACACTTAACAGATTACAGTATAAACATAACTTTTATATGTACTGGGAAACCAAAAAATTCATTTGATTCGCTTTATTGTGATACTGGCTTCTGGAAAGAAACCTGCAGGATCTCAGAGATGTGCCTGTGTGTCACTAGAGTTGATGAAGTTTCTGTAGCTATACTCAGAATTCATGAAGGATACCGGTCCACAATATTCTCATTACGTTTTTGTCTCGCCCTACTATCAGGGTAATAGGAGCCTCAGAGCACACAGCTAGTTAAGTATACCCCTCTTCTATTTTCTAAATCTGTGAAAAGATTGGCATGATTTCTTCTGTCAACATTTGGTGGCATTCACCAGTGAAGCCATCTGGCCCTTGGCTTTGTTTCAATTTGTTAAAGGCCTACTAAAACCCTCCATTTCTTCTTGACTACATCTTGGTAGCTTGTGTCTAAGATTTTTCCATCTCACTTGACTTGTCCAGTGTGTTGGCATGAAGTTGTACACAGCATTTATTTACAACCCTAACTTCTGTAAAGTTGTTAGCAATGTCCCCTCTTTCGTTCTTGGTAATGGCAATTCATGTCTTCTCTGTCACTGTAGCTCAAACTTGTGGATCTTTTTGAAGACCCAGCTATTGGTTTCGTTGATTCTTCCGCATTGTTTTTGTTTCCTATTTCACTGATTTCCATACTAATCTTTATTCTTTCCTTCTGTTTCCTTTGGACTTCTGTTGCTTCTCTTTTTCTAATTTTTTTTAAGGTAGAATCTTAGACTATTGATTTAAAATCTCTTTAACAGTATTTGCAGCTATAAATTTCTAAGCATGGTGTAGCTGCATCTCATAGATTTTTGAGGTACCGTGTTGTGATTAACGCTTACTAGGAAGTAATAATCAATTTATAAACACTTCTTTGATGATCACTTGTTACAGTTTTTGCTATAGTCAAACTCCCTTCCAGGAGGGTAACAAGGAATTTAATATAAAACATAAGATTGTTATAGTTAACTAATTCAACTCTGTATCGCATATACTGGAAAGTCACATTAAGCATATTATGATCTCTCTTTCTCTGCACAGTCTAGGAAGCAGGCTAGTGTGAGCTCTCTGGAGAGTAAACATGGATGCACTTGGTACTACGCCGTTGCACACACACACCCAAGTCATAACTGGGATGGTCTGTGGGTTGAGTTCCACCCTCTTAAGGACAAACATCAATTCTGTGAAACACACAGATAAGGTGGTTACTCACAGAAATTCCAAGGGTATATGACAAATGCATTGTGATAAATACTATTATTTTGTTCCTATAATAAAGTAGTTGTTTCTTATAATAAATAATACATATCTTCCAAAGTCATAAGGCAACATCAATCCATTTTCCAGAGTTATGTTAACACAAGGATGCAAGAGCATCTGCGAATAAAAATCATTCTGGTGTGGGGTTCCTTCTGTCCGGCCATTCAGGTTTTCTTCCTGCGTTGCTCTAAAACTCAGCAGTTAGGCTTTCAGGAAGAGAACAGAGCTGATCTAGAAGGCAGTTTTGTTTCAGATGGAGCCATCAACATCATTAGGGTGCCGATGCCGAAGGGTGGTTCTCCATCCAGAAGGCCAACAGCAGACCAGGGCCGCCTGGCTGAGGTCACAGGGGAACCCACAGCCTGGCTCATGGACGGCTTAACACAGGAATGCCACAAGCCGATAATCTGAGCAACCGCGGAAAGCATTCACAACTTGAGCCATTTCCAGAGTTCCAACGTCCTTTAAGAATAAGATTCTTGTATTGATGTAAAACGTAATCTGGAGGTTTAAAACAGAGGAAGAGTCAGGTCACAGTCATTAGAGACATAAAAGCATTGCCTCATCATCCCAGAGATACAGCTCTGCGAATACTAAAAAAACCAAACCCGTGACTTTTAAGTGGCCCCGAGACCCATGATGGCAAGTCTCAAACATGAATGTGCATCAAATTATTCTGTGTTTCAGGAGTTTTCTTAGACTGCAGTTTCCTGGGCCCTGATGTCTGTGCACTTGTGAAGTCCAGGGATCTGCATTTTCACTATGCCTCACCCAGACCTCCTCACACTGTGATCGGGAACACTGGACCCAGGTGGGTTAGCATCTCCTTCTTGCTGATCATTTTTAATGACCATCCACTTCTGATGATTAACAACATCTACGTACAGTAAATTCCTAGATCTTGGGTCTGGAACCCAGAGGCAACTCTGTCTGCCTCAGAGGAGTCCACAGCTTAAAGCACCATGTCAGACACTAAGGAAAAAGCACATAAAAGCCACTTTTCACAGACGGGAAGGTAGCAACTAAGTTTTCTGGAAGGGCTTATTTGGGCTTATGACGACCGTTTTAATGGCCTTCGTAAGTATGTTCAGTGCTGACAGCCTAAGGGACACAGCGGCCTGGGGGAGGCCAAGTGGCCTGGGGGAGGCCAAGCAGCCACCGGGGCAGGTGGATCTCCCACCTTCTGTCTCTGTGCCCCGCTGACCACACGGCCATCTTCCCAGGGAGTACACTCACACTGGCTACCGGCCTGGGCCGTGCCGCAGACGTCGCAGCACCAACACAAAGGTGGCCCGGGACGCCCGCCACAATGTTTTGGGAATGCTGGCCGGTGGCCAGATGCCCTGAAAGAGAATGGGACAGCTTCCCAACTCCAACACGGTCTCAGCTGAGCACTCGGCCGACCAGAGCAGGGAGCACTAAGGATGGTATCCCGGGTGAGCCTGGGACGCACCTGTTCCGAGCGTTCTGTCCAACACTCACAGGTGCCCCAGTGCTGCATGAACGACTTTCCTTCTTCCAGCAAAGTGCTTCCGTCTATGTCCCACTGGGAGGATTTTCTTCTCAAGTCACTCGAACCCAGAACTGTTTCAAAGGATACTCTAGATAGTACTTCCCAGGGAACTAGGTCTTAACCCATCTGAAAACATTCAAGACACAAGATTCTTAAAATCTTGCCTTTAAACATCATAACAAATCAAGCGCAAAACTGAATTAACATGATCCTTAAAAAGGATCCCGAAAAAAGACATGACAACTTTACCTTATTTACAGACATTATATTTTCACAAAGTGCAGAGGAATTCTGGTAGTATGTTTAGTTAGTAATAAAAGGAACTTCATTTTCTTGGAAAAATGAACAACTAGTCTCAGAACAAAGCAGATGATTATGATGACCTCTAAAATCAATTTCAAAAACTTTCTAATTTACCTTTAGTTCAGGGCTGAACTGGCATGTAAACTAAGTAAAACCTACAATTCCTTCCAGAGTATCAGGAAAACATCAAAGTGCCTTGGTTTTCAAAAAGTCCCATTTTCTTTCTTCAAAACACTTAAATGTTTTTGAAATCCACCAAATTGAACAATATCCCATCAGAAGGGGAAGGCTGGTCTTTTTTCCAAAGGAGTGGAGGTAACCCCACGGAGCCCTGCTAACTCAGCAGCTGCCATCAGGATGGGTGTCCAGCCGAAACCACACAGCTCTTCACCCCACGGCCAGCTCAGTGTAGCAACTACATAAACTACTGATAAACAGGGAAAGCACAAGACACATACTTTTAGGATGTTTCGAATAACGTAGACACGGAAACTAGGGAAAAGGGTTTGGACTTTTCTGATGGTAAACGGGAAATGGCAGGACAGCTCTCTGGGATCCACACTGAAGCTGCAGGGGTGTGCACGTGCCCTGGGAGGCGGCCAGTAGAAGGCCCGGGCCTTGGCCCTGCTCCAGCGGCCCTGGTGGACTCCGCACTCTGAACGCTCGCTCGCGCGGCTGCTGGACAACTGGGAACAGTGCAAACCCAGAACACGTGGCAATCTGCGCTTTGCATTGTGTCCCATGCCACTCTCTGGTTGCACAGAGAAGTAAACTGCCCCAGCGACAGCCAGAGGACAAGAGCTCCTCCAGGAGCACAGCGCAGCGGGGAGGACACTGGTTAGTAACAAATGCTGTCATGACCCCAGGCTCATCGGCCAGCACCCTGACATAATGGGGTGCGAGGCAGCTCGCTGACCAGGTGATCAGCGGACAGCCTGATGCAGGGATCCTCAGGGCAGGCATGAGCTTGACCACTGTGCACACAACACTGTCACTTACTGATGACACATTTTTGCAAACACTGATCATCTTTCCTGAGTGCTTTAAAGAAAGGGGAAATTGTAGTAGTATTCTGGATAAACAAATGAGAAGTTTGGAGGTTGAAATAAACCATATAGGGAGAGATGCTGGGGCTCAGAGACGTTTTCAAACAGAGAAAAGAGACCAGACCCCAAATCCTGCCAGGCTGGTCTCCTGGGGCCTTGTAAACTGGCCCCGTGAAGGCCAGGCACCACACTTTGCATTTCCCCCAATCACAGCACCATGTAACCACACACACTGGCATGTCTTAATCACAGACCAGTGACCACAAGGTTTAGGAGCAGTTTTGGTCAACTGCCCTTTGGGGGTCACAGCTCTGGGATGGTGGCAACCACACCCATGTCATCTGGAAGAAAAGCCATCTCCCATGGCACTGCTTAAAAATTCACAACTAAAGGATGGGGGACTTTCAGACTAAGTAAGTATACCTGTTTTGTTCCTTATGCAGTTGTTGGTATATGTCCACATTTACACAACAGACTAGAGAAAACGTACGGTTTTGCCACTGTCTGAACGGCATTAAAGCTCAATTAGGTCAGAACTAACTTGCTTCTAAGTTGTAATAAAGAATTGCAGGACAGCAACGTTTGAAATGCCCGTCTTAAGAAGTTCAATTAAACCCTCTCCTCCAGATGGAGACCCGCAAGTTCTAAAACATTCCAGTATCTGCTTCCTCAGCACAAGAATGTGCTCTTGGAGCCCGCACTCCGTGGAAGATGCAGGTACGCACCAGCCTCCAGTCTCTCCTCTGAGTATCTTGCTGGCTATTTCTTTGGGGTGCACATTAAAACGGAGTAAGAATCTGTGATACTTTAAGTAACACAACCAGCTTCCCTGAGAAAGTGTGTGGGGACCAATGCTAATTATCCACACCAGAAACTTAATGATGGAAATCAAAAACTAAGGTGAGTTTTAATACCTGCAAATTTTTCTTCCCCTAGAAACCTGATCAACTTTTTAAAACTCCAGTTTAGGGAGGTGGGGGCCATTTCAGATTATAGTAGAAAGGAGAAGCAAAGCGGAAATGAAATTCACGGTGCATCAGGCCCAACTCTGGGTGGACGAGGCGAGGATCACCACGCCCCCACCCCACCCCTGCACAGCACAGCTACTCTTCCCGGGACATCTAAAGAACACGGCATCCCTGTGTGGCTGCAGGACGCTCTGGAAGAAGACCTGCTTTCTACATTACAACAAACCGGCCGCCAATGGACAATGAACCACCACCACACCACGTTTCTCGAAGCAGGAAGGACCCCCACGACCGGGTCCTGCACAGCAGGGTGTAGAGGACCCCCCACGACGACGCTGAGAACACAAGCAGACTCACGTGCGTCCCTTTATTCACAAAGGTCAGGGTCACAGTCTACTTCTCCGTCACGATCAAACAGAAACTGTAGAACACCCCGCTGACACGTCTACAGTGCTTTACGACAACGTGTGGGGATGCTGGGAGATGCCAGTGTTCCGGGGAAAGTACCAACGAGAACCTCCCTGCTGACGTCACAGGACCCAGAAAGCGTGAGCGGAACTCAATAAAGGAGAGCGGAACATGGCAAGGCCTGAGGGACAAAGCCATCTGTGTGAGGCAGGCCCTGCACGACTCGGCGCATCCCCTCTGCGTCAGGCTCCAGTCTGCATTGCGCTGGACACAGGCGCATCTACAGGGAGTCAGGCAGGGCTCCCACTCACACATGAGAGCAAGGGAAGGGGTGAGCTGACGTGCCCGAGTGTGCCCAGGGAGGCAGCTGCCACACCTAGAGCTCTGCGATTCCCTGCCTTCCAGGGCATGAAATTTACCCGCCCTTTTATATCGAAAGAGAACATTAGGGCCACTTTAAAAATAGTCTGTCAAAAGTAATGCCCTGCCGGAGCACCTGGGTGGCTCAGTTGGTTGAGTGTCTGACTCTTGATTTTGGCTCAGGTCATGATCCCAGGGTCATAAGATCGAGCCCTGCATCAGGCTCTGTGCTGAGTGTGGAGCCAGCTTGGGATTCCTTCTCTCCCTCTCCCTCTCTCTGCCCCTCTTCCCTACTCGCTCTCTACAATTAAAAAATAATAAAATAAAAAACAATGCCCTGCCAATAAGATTTATTTTCCTTGTTAGAAAGCCCACCCAAATTTGAATATAGGGCTATGGGGCTGCACTGTGTCCCCTGAACCACCAGCTGGAGCCCTAACCCCCAGGACCTCAGAATGGGACTGCATTAAATGAGTTTATATGGGAGGTACCTGACCCAGTGTGACCAGTGTCTTTATAAGCAGAGGAGATCAGGACGGATACACATGGAGGGACAACCCTGTGAGGGCACGGGAGGAAGACAGTATCTACACTCCAGGACACAGGCCTCAGGGGAAGCCGGCCCCACCCACGCCTGCATCCCAGACTTCCAGCCACCAGAACAAGGACAGGGTCTGTGGTTTAAACGCCCCTGTCCCATCTGGTATCTGCTGCAGCCACCTGAGTCAATGAACACACCAGCATGCAGTGTCCTTGCAAACACTCCCTTCAGGGGACCACCACATGCGTGATGACTCAGGGCACGACCCTTGTAAAAACAGACAATCACTAAGTAAAACAGAGAGAGGGCCAGTGAGGACAGCTGATACACATCAGTATCCTTGTGAACGTGTGTGAGTCAAGCAAAGGGACACCCGGTAACAGGTGTCAGTCTCCCCTCCAGCTACAGGACAACACAGACCATGGGTTCCATCCCCTCCAATCTTCCAGTCCCTAATGCCTGCTCCCCTGAGGGCTGTCCTGAAGAGGACACAAACCCAGGGCTTGAGACAACTGGACCTTAGCCTTACAGGACAACCCAAAGCCACATTTGCTAAAATAAGGTCCCCATACATGACACGCAGAGTCCCCAGTGAAGAACCACCTCTAGGGACAGAGCCACTCTGCATCTCCCTGGTGGGGACACCCAGCACATGTCACGTGTATACACACACACACACACACACAGACACACACACCCTCCTGGGCAGAAGCTACCAGATTACTCACACACCCTTCATAACACAAATTCAAGGCAAAGCTCTAGAGCCACTTTTGCAGTCTACACCCCAAAGTCCATTCAGAGCGCAAATTCAACCTGGACCCCTGAGCAGCTCTACGTTAGCACTGACGTTTGTGGAAGGCCTGAGTCTGTCCTGTTCACATCGTACCTGCCACAGTTGTTCCAACTCACAGACAGCTTGGAAGTTACGTGCATGTCTGATCCAGTGAAGGGCCCTGGGTAGCTGATGCGCTGTTTTGGGCGGTGCTCCAGGAGCACCCAAGTCCAGAGCACAGACTGAAGGTGATGGAGGACAGAGGTAAGAGGCGGCGGGATGTGCCCACATTGCAGTCGGCAGCCTACTCACCCAACGGGAACGGCCAGCACAAAAACGAAACGCGAGCCAGTGCCCGCACTCCAGTGTCACTGTCGCCTGGACTGGCAGGGATCAATGCGCCACCTGGTCCAGCATCCTCGCATAAAAACTAAGCAGAAAGAGTGCAAGGTCAATTTTAGGCAAAATGATGTGCCAAGGCAATAACCCTAAAAGCTGAGTCAACTAAGCTGAAGGGTTTCACAGTGAGTAAGAGGGCAGACAGAGACCATCTGACAAAGTCCACAGAAATAACTCAAAGACTCACTCACCTAATTCTCTGAGACTCGGCAGCCTAAGACCGTACAAACATATGACACAGAACAAACCAATTACTGTAAAAATTAGGTGTCAGGTTGTGGTGTTCTGTGGGCATAAGAAATGCAGCTTTTGTAAGAATATGAATGTAATGACATATTTAAAATATCTTTAACTATAAAATAGTTTCTACAATCTCGAAAGGGAAATTTATATTTCTTCAGCATAATTGGAAAATAAGAAAACACTTCCTGACCTCACTTAGGAAGCAAGGGTACAAAACTAGCCACAGAGATGGCTGGACTTTGGGTCCTTCAGATCCCTGCACTGAGGCTGGTGATCCTCCTGGACCAGACACGTGGCCTCCACGCCCTCCTCATCGGCACCACAGAGAAAAGGTGCGCCTCCCCTCCCCCCATCAGAAGTCTCACACGGCGATGGCCAAGGACTTCAGAGCATCTGTCACGCTTTACTCACCACCAGCGCCGTGGCCGTGCCGAGAGCGGTCAAACCGGCAGGCCCACCCATGATTCTCCAAGCTGTGCAGACCCGCTCGCTGGCCTATAGACGGCAGCCAGCGACCATCAACTTCTGACGAGACTTGCTGTCATTTGTAGGGAATACGCTTCCCGAGCTACATGTGCAGTAGCACAAAAAGGCTGAGGTGTGGCAGGAGGAGGACGCAAGATCCGGCCTCCAGCGGGCGGGCACCTCCACCCAGCCCGGTCGGGGCCATTCCTGCAGCCAACTCTGGCAGCGAGAAGGTGGCCTGTCCCACCCCAGCCTTAACCACAAGATCCTTTGGCCCAACTCAATAGGGAAACAGCAAAAAACAAATGTGATTACAGACACATTGTGAATCTACTTTCTTCCTGATTATAATCGCCCAGAAGACACCCGTCCCGGCCATTAGGCCATTACCTATGCACTTCCTCGTCCCTGCCGTCAAGACACGGGGCTTTCCCCCTACAGACTCTCACCAGTTGGTACTGAAGTATTAACAGCATTACAGGCAATATACAAAGCAGAACTAGATGTGAAAGTATAAAATACATATTATTTAATTCTATTTAAAACAATTCAGTTTAAAATTTTATGATAAATTTTCTCATTAGCGGCGAATCACAAACTGAATATTTTGGACTAGTGAATGTATCTGGGATATTGATCACTGCCCCTCTCCCCTCGGGAATTACTGAGTGTTACCATTCAAGTAAAAGTCGGACTTCTTTCGGTCTCTGCATATATCTGACATTTACACGTGGTGAAAGGATCTTAAAGTAAAACTTTAAAAACTTTTTCAGAAGCAGGTTTAACACATCACATTTTGCTTATTAGCACAAAATTTACAGTCAGAAGTTGCACATAAAGGGTTTATTTTAAATGTTTTAAGGATAGGATAGAGTTACATCATAATTATAAAAATTACTTACAGAATTAACAGATTTATATTGTTTATACTTCTAAATGCAGAGAACAGGGAACTGTCTACACATTGTATAAAATAAAATTAAAATTAAAAATGAATTCAAGCTTGAAAGATGAGGTCATTTACCTAATTTTAAAATGCGAACACGAAGACCTCTGAACTATACACATTCGTTCAAACTGCACTAACGGTGGAAAATACAAAAAGCGCAGCATTTCCAAGGAACCACAGACATTTCAACCATAATTATTTTCTGTTATAATAATTGTTCCTGTTTTGTCTTTGGAGAACTTTCTTTTTTTTTTTCTTTTTTTTTTTTTTTTTTTAAGACAATCAGCTTAAGAATGTTTTCAGGCACTACAATTTGTGACAATCAGAACAGTCTTCTAATGGGTCCACAGCGTTCAGAGATTCAAGCCCAATGCACTTCGGGGTTTGGCACGTAAAACAATAATAGGAATGAACTCTGGCTTAGAAGTAACTGTGAGAGTTTCAAGAATGCACAGTCCCTTCAAATGCTGCACGACAGACAGGGCTGGAAAATCACCTTCTGCTGGCACTACACTGCTTCGCCAGTGCATCTGTATCCTACGACCACTACAACAGCACAGGAAGCAAATATACAGACAGCTGAAAACAAAAACAAAGATAGAAAACAAAAAACCTAAATATCTCTCACATGCAAGTTCAGTTAGTTACATTGAACATCCTACTTAGAATAGAGCATGCAAAAAAGGATGGTCTGCGCTTAAGGTTCTCCTCTGAAGCTTCACGTGGCAGCCGGACGTCACACGCACACGACACAAGAACACTACAGCAGGTCAGTGAGGAAGGCCAGGACATTTTATACAGGTTCAGGTCTTGTGCGGTCACAAGTCCCGTGATAATTTTGGAAACTAATGTTGGGCTCCCAGAACAAGGAACCAACATCCCAATACCAGGAAAAGGCAAGCAATGCATGCAGATCGGAAACGTGAGCCTAAAACGAAGCCTGAAATCCCGGGCAAAGGAGTGGGATCAGTCACCACAGAAGCGGGAGTTAAGCCGCCGAAAGAAAAGAGAATGGGGCAAATAAAAGAAAACAACAAAAAACCCCTTCCCCTTCCTTCCGCCCTAACGGCAATACATGGAACGCTGACTAAAATGAGGACGCCAATCACGTGTCACATTCGTCTGGAGAGCGGCAGACCGTGTGGTACTGAAGGTGCTAAGGGTACTTGCAGAAAGACCACAAAGCAAGTCAGTAAGTGATGCCGGAGACGCCTCCACGGACCCGCGCCGCCGGATGCTGCCAGGGGACACCGGTTCTGCAGCCAACGCCTCTGTGCCGCGCTCACGCCGCGCACACGCCGGCCGCACCCACCCTCCGGGCACGCTTGTCCGCTGGCACTCGGGGAGCCGGGCTCAGCCTTGAGATTCCCATGCAGGGACTCTTAGAAGAGCCACCAGGAAAAGAGGTGACAGACGTGCAGCAGGACACCTGTCCGAGCAGGAGGAGCGTCTGAGACCAGGCACTCGGCCGCCGCCCGAGGTGAGGTGAGGCGCGGCACGCCACACACCGCGGACACCGGGCGCTGCACCAGAATGGGGCGCAGGGCTACCATCCAACAGCGCGACAGCACGCGGACTTCCCGAAGGCAAAAGCGGGGGGCCACGCGAACCACACGTGGGGAGGCCTTGAGGTACAGGATCTCCAACGCTGAGGCCACGTGGCCTTCTCGTACTGGACTGACAACACATGCGCTCAACCTTCTGCCCAAAATGCAGGGAAGGTTTCCAACCTCCGCAGGAGACTGGTGTCACGTACTGCCTCTCTCCTAGCTGCCAAACCATCAGGGCTCATCCGACACAAGGCGACAGATGGCCATGCCGCCACTACCCCCACTTCTGCAGTTCTACTTCGGTTAAAACAACCTTGCGGGAATAAGCCACGGAAGCTGGTGCGGTGACGGACCCCGACGTGGTAGGGCCCACAGGACGGGAAGCGTCCACATCCACAGCACACCGGGGGCAAGACCGTAACAGCACCACAGAAGGTGTCAGGGGACCGAAGCTGTCATCTGTCTAGATGTTCTTTGTGGGGAAAAGCCGGGGGGGGAAAGCCTTCTGACCACAATCACGTATCAGTAAGAACGGTAATAAAAAAAAGTGTCCCAGAGAACTTGTTGGAAGGCAGCAATGCCATTCTTCAACTTGAACTTCTAATACGAAACCACTAGGTTCTTCCAGGAACTTACCACATACACACAAACCACTGACGCACTGCTGCCTCTCAAATCCATGTACTAGAATGCAGACTGCGGACTCGTACAAATAACAGACCAGTTGTGCCGTCCAAAATACGCCCGCATCACACTGTGTGGACCAAGTACCTGGGCTTCGCTTTAAAAAAAAAAAAAAAAGTACAGTAAAAAATGTAAACAAAAATTTACAAAGCTTAGAATTAAAGGCAGCTTTTTACCCAGATTCCTGTTTTGTTAAATCCTAATGTGGGTCCAGCAACTGCTCACCAATGATTCATGTTTGGACTCACAGTTTAAAGCCTCCAGACTGAAAAGGTGTCTGAACTTCTGACTTTGAAAACAAGCTGAACATCCCTGTGTCTCCTGTGCCCACATTTAATTTTAAATAAGCAGCAGTAATATGCTAAGTATGACTGACTTCGGACAAGTACTCCTGTTAAACTGGAGAATATTATTTACCCCCCGCCCCAATCCACAAAGAAATGACTGCCAATTAAGTGTATGTGTGCGCGCGCACGCACAGATCTATGTGTGTGTATATATTACATATGTACACACACAGATATAGATAGGTAGATATAGATACATACATATCTCAAAAAAGGCAATAACAAAAATACCAAACTATGCTTGCATTGTGGCGGCAGAGTCGGAGAGCGCAACAGTGGCGGGGAAGTGGGGAAGATCTACTACAGTTTGAAATGACTATGGGGCTAGCCTAACTTGTACCAAACTTGCCTGTTAACTCCCCTCCAGACAGACAGACTTCTTTTAAGAGGAAGGAGTTCCTTACACAAAATGCTTTGTGTTCACATGAATTTGTACTATTCGGAACAAAACCAGTTCTGCTGGCAGAGATTGTGGGTTCGCAGGGACATTTAAGCTTTCATTAAACTGGAAAGCAATCAAGTCTTTATGTCTACAAATTATACATTTAATAGTTCCACAAATTTGGCGAAGTCCATGATGCCATCTAGGACGTTTTCACCAAATCGTACACGTAGATATGGAAGTCGTCATCAAACTTGATGAAGTAGACGGACGGTTTGGCCTCCACTTGGTGGATGACCATGCCAGTCCTTTTAGAGCCGTCCTCTTTGGCATATTCCACTTGTTTGCCTACCAGGCTGTCCACAACTTCTCCTGGTTCCCTTTCTGCTGGAGGAGAATCATCTGCATTAAACAGGGGAGGAAAAAGAATTTGAAGTCAATTTTTCAGTATGTACCAACTCACGGGTCTATTTTAATAATAATTTTTTTTTTAATTTAACATTCCCCCCAGTTTCTTACACCATACACAAAAATAAACTTGAAATGGATGAAACACTTAAATGCAAGACAGGAAGCCATCAAAATCCTAGAGGAGAAAGCAGGCAAAAACCTCTGTGACCTTGGCTGCAGCAACTTCTTACTCAACAAGTCTCTGGAGGTAAGGGAAACAAAAGCAAAAATGAACTATGTGGACCTCATCAAGATAAAAATCTTTTCCACGGCAAAGGAAACAATCAGCAAAACTAAAAGGCAACCAATGAAATGCAAGAAGATATTTGCAAATGACATATCAGATAAAGACTTGGTCTGTAAAGACCAAAATCTATAAAGAACTTACCAAACTCAACACCCAAAAAACAAATAATCCAGTGAAGAAATGGGCAAAAGACACGAATAGACACTTTCTCCAAAGAAGACATCCAGATGGCTAACAGACACATGAAAAAATGCTCACCATCACTCATTGCTCATCATCAGGGAAATCTCATCAAAACCATGACGAGATACTGCTCACACCTGTCAAAATGGCTAACATAAACTCAGGAAACAACATGTTGGCGAGGATGTGGAGAAAGAGAAACCCTTTTGCACTGCTGGTGGGAATGCAAACTGGTGCAGCCACTCTGGAGAACAGTATGGAGGTTCCTCAAAAAATTAAAAATAGAACTACCCTATGATCCAGCAATTGCACTACTAGGTATTTATCCAAGGGATACAGGTGTGCTGTTTTGAAGGGGTACATGCACCCCAATGTTTATAGCAGTGCTATCAACAATAGCCAAAGTATGGAATGGAAAGAGCCCAAATGTCCATCAGTGGATGAATGGATAAAAAAGATGTGGTGTGTGTGTATACACAGACAGACACACACACACACACACACACACACACAATGGAGTATTACTCAGCAATCAAAAAGAATGAAATCTTGCTATCTGCAACTATGTGGATGGAACTAGAAGGTATTATGCTAAGTGAAATTAGCCAGAGAAAGACAAATATCATAGAACTTCACTCATATGAGGACTTTTAAGATACAAAACAGATGAACATAAGGGAAGGGAAGCAGAAATAATATAGAAAGAGGGAGGGAGATAAAACATAAGAGACTCTTAAATACAGAAAACTGAGGGTTGCTGGAGGGGTTGGGGATGGGGGACATGGGCTAAATGGGTAAGGGGCATTAAGGAAGACACTTGTTGGGATGAGCACTGGGTGTTATACATAGAGGATAAAAGACTAGAATCTACTCCTGAAATCATTATTGCACTATATACGCTAACTTGAATGTAAATTTAAAATTTTTTTAAAAAACTTAACATCCCCAATTCATCCTGATTATCTAGACCCAAGAGTCAGCAAACTTTTTATTCAAGGGCCAGACAATAAATATGTGAGGACTGAAGCCATGTGGTCTCTGTACCAACTACTCGGCTCTGCCTTGTCAAGTGAGAACAGCCTCAGAGAATATACAGATGAAAAGTGTGGCTGTGTGCCAATAAAACTTTATTTACAAAAACACTCTGCCGCCCCCTCCCACCCTCAGTCCATAACATGTGAAGGATTCTGAAAATCATGACCAGAAATCCCTGAGGCTTGTGTTCAATTACAGCTGTGACTGCCTGAGATGAGAACCACACCAAGGAAAAGTCCAGGGAAAAACCTAAATCCACAAAAATTCTTAAAAGTAAGTTGGAGTTCCTTCAAAACAGGTCTTCAGAGCAGACAACACCTACGGGGAGGCGAGAATACGCTGCTCAAACTTCTCCCTGGTCTTTTCCTGCGAATCCTTAAAGTGTCTTTCTCCTCCACCTCATTCCACTGCACACCATCGTCCCAGCCCAGGTTCAACATAAGAGACTTCTGCTCTGGAAACAGGTGCCGAGTGAAGCCCCTCCCCAGCCCGGCCATGACAGGATCTCTGAGGACCGTGGAGGCAGCACACCTCTCAGACGAGCCCCCCCCCCCAAAAGCCTGAGTGCTGGAGAACACCGTCCCAAGCGCATAGGGGCTGCGAGGCGTCCCCGAGTGCACTCGGAAGGACAGCCAACTGTCCCCTCCAGCAGCAAAGACACAGGGGATGGGGCTGGGAGGTTCCAACTCCACCTCCAGAAAACTCTTCAGGGCCCAAGCAAGGCGAGCCCCTCTCTGTGTAGCCCGGGTCTGGCCCTGGAGCTCCGCGCGGCCCGCTGGCGGCCCGAGTGCCCAACTGCACTAATGACGGTCCACCTCACTGGCCGCCTCAAGTCCTCTTGCCCGAGGACGCAATCCTAACCCTGCTACTCTGACCACCGCGCGACACAACGCCAAAGTATGACGCTATCCGATCTGAACAGGGAAGTGATGCCGAACCCGAGGCGGAAGTCCTTTCTTCATCAGCAGCGGCACGGGCCCTCCCCGCTTTCGGGGCACTTCACGTCCACAAAGTTCCAAGTGTGTGGTTACCAGGCACGCCACAGCAACTGAGCCGAGAGGTGAGGGGCTCGCACAGAGGCCGCCCCAGCAGGGCATCACCACGGGTTCCAATGGTAACTTAATTTCCGCTCTTGCAATGCACGTAGCGAACAGGGGAGAGACGCTGGGGGGGGGGGGGGGACGCGGGGCTGGGAGACACTGGGGACGGTGCAAACGCCTTCATAGTTTCCATCAGCAAGACAGCAGCTCTAACAGGGATACTTCTCTACCAAAAAATTAAAAATCAACTTCGTATAGGCTAGAGAAATGCTTTTATTTTTAATTTTTTAATGTTTATTTATTTTTGAGAGAGACAACATGAGTGGAGGAGGGGCAGAGAGAGAGAGAGAGAGAGAGACAGAATCTGAAGCAGGCTCCAGGCTCTGAGCTGTCAGCACAGAGCCCGACGTGGGGCTCGAACTCACGAACCGCAAGATCATGACCTGAGTGGAAGTCGGACGCTTAACGCACTGAGCCACCCAGGCGCCCCAGGCCAGAGAAATGCTTTTAAAGAATGCTCTCATGAGAATTAAGTTCCTGCTATTTAAATACTTCCTGTTACCACCCGTGGCAAATGTACACAAGGCAGAAAGTCAGGGCCAGATGAGCACACGTCAGAGCAGTTTCCCTGACTGGCTCGTTGGCAGAACTCAGCAACAGAGATGGTTGTCACACCGCTCATGTATCATGCGTCCGCCAGCCCCATCTGTTCAGGCCCAGGCACCCCTGTGTTGGAAGAAAGGCTAAAGAGTACTTTCAAAAAGAAAAGGCTTACCCAAAAGTGAAATTAAGAAAATAGTTCCATTCATAGTAGCATCAAAATGAGCAAAATGTTTAGGAATAAATTTCACAAAGTAAGTACAAAACTTCTACTCTGAAAACCACAAAACACTGTTGATAGAAATCTTTAAATCTCAGCAACGGCAGTATAGCCCATGCTCGTGGGTCAGAAGGCGTCACGGTGTCAAGATGGCAGTTACCCCCCAAGTTATCAGAGCTTCGACACAATCCCCGGATGAATCCCAGCTGACTGCTTTGCAGAAATTAACAAACTGATACCAAAATTCACAAAATCGCAAAGGATCCCAAAGAGTCAAAACAATGGTGAAAAAAGAACAAAGTAGGGCTCAACCCTTCCCAGTGTCCACACTGACTCCGGAGCAGTGTGACCAAGCGCTGGACGTACGCAAGCACAGCCTGGGGCGACGAAGCAGGGCTGAAGCCCAGCGGCACCCCCCCCACACGTCTGCAGCCAACTCCCTCTCAACAAGGCAGCAAAACCACCCAACAGGGGAGGGAGCAGTCTTTCCAAATAATGGCGCTCAGACAACGTGCAGGAGAATGAAGATGGACCCTCTCACCACATCGTAAAAGTTAGCTCACAATGTATCAAAGACCTAAATAGAAGAACTAAAGACCCACAGGTAAGAGCGACACCTACAAGACTTTTAGAAGAAAACAAAGAAGTAAATCTTCAGAACCTTGAACTTGGTAAAGACTATCAGAGAAAACACCAAAAGCACGAGCTACAGGAGAAAGAATAAATTGGACTTCATCAAAATTTAAAACTTCTGGGCTTCAAAGAACACCATCAAGGAAGCAAAAAGAAACCGACAGAACAGGAGAAAGTGTCTGCAAGTCCTACGTGTCAGGAGACCCGCACGGAGAACACAGACCCAGACAAGTCAGTGACAGACAGGTGGCCTGACTGAACAGGCAGACAATGCATGCAAACAGACACTTCTCCAGAGAAGACACAGAAATAGCCAACAACACGGGAAAAGGTGCCCGATGTCTCTAGCGATCAAGGAGATGCAAACCAAACCCATGACGAGCTAGCATTTTGCAACCATGAGGACAGCCAGAGCCAAACATCAGGTAACACAAAGGGGTGAGGGTGTGAAGCAATCAGAACCATCACACATGGTCGGAGCATGTGCAGAATGGTGCAGTGGCCTTGTGAATCAGTCCGGCGGTCCCCCACACAACACAGCAGTAACCACAGACCCATCAGTCCTACACCTCTGTGTCCACCCAGGAGAAGGGAAGGCAAACATCCACTCAGAAACCTGCGCACAAAGGTTTATAGCAGCATCCTTCATAACGAGCAAGAGGCGGGTGACAGCCCATACATCCATCAACAGACGGGTGGATACACACGCATAGATTACACTTGCACTTGGCCAGTAAAGGAATGAAGCACTGACACATTACAACTTGGAGGAGCCTGAAAACACTGCGCTGAGTGAAGGAAGCCACTCACGAAGGAGCCCGTGTTACATGCTCCATTCACCCCCACATCCACAATCCACGACAGATCTACACAGAAAGCACGTTCGTCTTGGCAAAAGGTGCAAAATTTCACAATCTACACTCGGTGCAGGACTAAAAGAATCATCCCTTAACCCTAGTAATCAAAGTAAGAAAGATGAATCTACAAAAAATAGTTAATCAAATATCTTGTTCTAAAATTCAAGTTCCTTTGGAATTATCAAAAATAAAAGCTGACAATCCACACTTACTTGAATCGGGCATGATGCGAAGGTCGCCTTCTTTATAATCATCTAAGAGCTGGTACATGTACAAGACGGGGTCCTTCTCGTAGGTGATGTAGAACCACGTGTTCATGATAGGGGCGCGAGCCAAGACCATCCCCCTCCACTCGTCCTTGGAGCCATCCTCTGTCTCAAACATGTGCTCCACCGCCTTTCCGATCATCGTGTCGGCCAGGTGCGCGTCGCTGATTCGAGAGCTCGCTGGGGACAAGAAGCAGACAGCGGTTCACACAGGATCTTACCGACATGTACTGTGTGTGAAGACTGAATTCACACAAGGCGACGGCCTGACGTGTGAGCGGCACAAGAATCAGCGGGCTGGCGCCCAGGCCCCACTGTAGTCCACAGGCTCTGGGGGTCCCAGGTCAGTCACTGCGAGAACCTGCTTTCCTTCTTTTTTGTTTTCCGAACTCAACTGCTCTTGGTGCGGTACCTTGAAATTAGAACTTTCAATGGTTCATTCGAGGTATACAGTGGGTTTTGGTAGGTTTAATAGCTATTTTAAACTTCAAGGGGCGCCTGGGTGGCTCAGTCGATTGAGCATCCAACTTCGGCTCAGGTCATGATCTCACCGTCCGTGAGTTCGAGCCCCGCATCGGGCTCTGTGCTGACAGCTCGGAGCCTGGAGCCTGCTTTGGATTCTGTGTCTCCCTCTCTCTCTGACCCTCCCCCATTCATGTTCTGTCTCCCTCTGTCTCAAAAATAAATAAAAACATTAAAAAACAAAACAACAAAAAAAAAAAGCTTCAAGATAATTCTAGGCTTGCCTGGAGCTGTAGAACAGGAGCATTCCCACGCACTCCTCACCCACCTTCCCTCTGGTAACACCTTCCGTGACCACGGGGCAGTTATTCAAACTAAGAGGTCACCCTACCCCAGGCCTGAGGTCTTCCTCTGGGTCTATAATCTGTTTCCACAGCAAGCCAACTGCTCCTGGGCGTTACACCACACTGGGCTGTGCTTTCGCTTGGCACGCCCCAGGGCTTTCACTTCAGCATCTGAGTAACTGCTTCTCAGCGCCGGCCCAGCCGCCCTCTCCCTCCTGCCTCCTGCCAGGGCCCTGCCTGCACGGTCTCCTCCTCCTCCAGGTCTTCTCCCAGGGGCTCTCCGGGACCAGGAGGGAAAGCCCGGCCGAGACCACTGCCTCCTCCGGCTTTATTCGTTAATGGCATTCCCCACCATCGGCAGTCGTCCTGCTTGGCCCGGGCACCCGGGAGGCAAACACAGACCCCTTCCGTCTGCTTTCCGATACCAAGAGCACCGCACTCCGACACCTGCCGTACAAATTAATCGACGGCCCTGCCGTGTTCGTTAAGGGGCAGGTGGAAAATCACAACCTAACTTGTTTTTAATACTGGGAAAATTACAGAAGGTCCTAATGATTTTAAGGTTTCTCTGGTCCTCGCATTTTAGACAACTGTCTTTTTAAAAAAAGCACTTCTATTTTACTCATTCATAAGTGCTTTTACTTCTGTTAAAATTCAAAGGGACACAGAATTTCTGAAGATACTGCTAGCCAATTTTATCAGAAGGACACTCTAAATACATATGGTGCTTCTCTTTGCTTACATATGCAATAACTATTCAAAATTACACAAAATTCCCCAATGTGCACTAAAAGCCCACTCGCGTTTCTTCAGAAGTTCTCAAACTTTTTGACCTCAGGACTCCTGTATAATTTTTGAGGATCTAAAAGAGCAATTCTTTACATGGATAGCTACCAAAATCTGCTACTAGAAATTACAAGTAAGTCTAAAAAAATTTTTTTTTCCAACGTTTTTTTATTTATTTTTGGGACAGAGAGAGACAGAGCATGAACAGGGGAGGGGCAGAGAGAGAGGGAGACACAGAATCGGAAACAGGCTCCAGGCTCCGAGCCATCAGCCCAGAGCCTGACGCGGGGCTCGAACTCACGGACCGCGAGATCGTGACCTGGCTGAAGTCGGACGCTTAACCGACTGCGCCACCCAGGCGCCCCTAAAAATATTTTTTAAATACTTACATAAAGCATTTTTAATGAAAAATAACCATATTTTCTAAGAAAGATTTAGTAAGAAGAGCGGGATGATTTTACATGTTTAAATCTCTCGATGTCTAACTTCACAAAAGGAAAGCTAGATTCTCCTATCGGCTTCAGCATTCTGAAGCATCTGTTACACGCTCTTCTGGTTGACATATGAAACCCAGCCTCACAAAGATGTGTTGTTGAAAAGGGGGAGTATTCTATTAGTCTTGTCAGATAATTCCAGATACTCTTGTGACACTACATCACAGCTCAACAAGCCTGTTAAAGGTTAACCGCACGCAGAATCTAAAATCATTATCAGTAAACCTGTCACACTGTTCTGTTAAAACTCACTTATCTCCAAAATATGTAAAGAATTCCTACAACTCAACAAAATCAAATAACCTGATTGGGAAACAGGCAAAGGACCTGAACAGACATTTCTACAAAGATGACAGACAAGTGGCCAAAAAGCATATGAGAAGGTGCTCGACATCACTAATCACCAGAGAAACGCAAACCAAAACCGACAAGAACAACTGGTGTTGCCGAGGATGTGGAGAAACTGGAGCCCTGTGCACTGTGGGTGGGAATGTGAAATGTTACAAACACTGTGGAAAACAGGACATGGGCTCCTTAGAAAATGAAACACAGAATTACTGCATGATCCAGCGATTCTGCTTCCAGGACTATCCTCAAAAGAGAGGAAAGCAGGGGCCCGAAGTGCCTGACCGCCATGTTCATGGCAGCACTCTCCACAATAGCCAAAAGGTGGAGGCAACCCAAGCAGAGCGACGGGCGAGCCGAATGCGGGGTCGACACGATGAGTACTGCTCAGCCTCGAAAGGGAAGGAGATGCTGTCACATGTTACGTGGGCGAACCCTGAGTACACTACGCTGGGAAAGGAAGTGGTCACCAAGACAAATATTCTATCTAATGGTATCTAATGTGACCCAATTCATAGAAACAGAAAGTAGAAGAGCTGGGGGGGAGGTGGGGAATGGAGCAACAGATTTACAAGATGAAAACGTTCTGGAGATTTGCTCCACAACAACCTGAATGCACGTAACACTAACTGAATTCAACACTTAAAAATGGTCAAGGTAGTGAATTTCACGTTCTGTGTTTTTACCGATGTCACAAGCCTCCTGACCTCGAGGGTCCCTGACCACACATGGGGCACCCATACACTGTGCCACCACAGGCCTTCAGGCCGGGTCCCCTCCTTAGCTTATCGCAAACAAAACTGCAAGTACAGTCTGATGTACAACCTGAGGCTGATCGTGACAGACGGTTTCCTTCCTACATGGAACGTAAGCGAAGGGCAAATAATCTTCCAGACTGAAGCAGGCGAGAAGTACCAGAATTAACTACTCATTAAATTCAGCACGTGAAATACTGCTGGGTTGCATAGACGCCTTTGGATTTCCTTTTTAAAATGCTTTGCTTTTTACAAAAACAAGCCTGATCTCCCATTGGAAACAGTAAGAAAACCATTAAGCAACTCAAGTCCATCACCAGAGATACTTATAGATTTGGGGGTATCTTGGTTTGATCAAATCACGTTTTTACCAAGAGGAAATGACCTCCTCTGTCCTATGATGACAGAAGAGCTCACACAGGCCGGCAGGGCAGTCTCACCCCAAAAGGGACAGACTAAACATCTAGATCAGAAAAAGGATACACGACAATTACTTAGTACAAACAATGGATTTGAAAGTCTAGGTATTTTTTTAAAACCTGAAGGTAAGACTCTTCAATGTTAGTTTCTCACACTGGAAATAGGCTAACGTCAAGATCAAGAGGAAACAGAGGATGTGCCTCGTGAGGAAGGAGGAAGGTCCAGTGGCACCAAGAACAGGTAAAGACATGACAAATGCCAGAGATGTAACATTACACAGTTACCTTTGATAATAATAAAGACATGAAGATTTCTGCGAAAACAGAACTGTATTTACATGGGATAAATATAGACTTAGCATCGTCATCTAAAGGGAAGGCAAACAGAAAACTTGCTGCTCTGGCAAAGAGTTAACTTGCTAGGGAAGCACGTGTGTCCCAAGAACACAATGGCAAAAACAAAGGGACAAGGGAACAGAGTAGTTTCCCCTCTTGGCAATCTGGCCCCACACTTCTACCCACAAGTCCACATCTGCTGAGACTGGGTTTGTTAACATAGAGGTTTTTCAAGACAATTCCAAAAGGATCAACCAGCGCTCAGGCATGGCCGTGGTAAGAAGAAAGCACTTCAAAGTGAACACTCTTTAAGAAAGTAACGTTAACGTGGGTGCGTCCTACTCATCCTAGAAATGATATTTTACCTTATCCTTAAAAATAAAATCAGTCGTTATTATTTAACTGACACCTTAAGCCTTAAGGAACTAAGCTATATAAGGGGACCTATTTGTACAATATTTAAGAAAAGAAAGGGCTGTTCATTTCCACATTGTGCAAACATCCATCTAAAGAATGCAGAATAAATAAAGCCCACGGGTTTGGGCTGCTTGAATTTGGGTTGAAAATACAGTTATCACTTATGTAATAACACACAATGAAAGATATACTTCACATAAGGATTCTAAAGTAAGTGCGTAAGCTACTATAATCTGATGAAAGAGGTACACAAGATATTTGAGCTAACAAGAAAACATTCTTACCCATCAGAGTCCACATGAACAGTGAGCAAAACGTGGGAAATAATGTTAGAAATTATCAGTTTGTCAATTTGTTCAGCAATCATTTCACACATCTTTACACCCCTGACTTGAACTGTGGTTTCAGGTGACTGACTTAAGAGTATATCGGGAGTGCCTGCACTCCAGGAAAAATAAAAATACCAATAATACAAAAGAATAATCACAAAGCAATCACTTCGACAATCATTTGTAAAGAATACAACACACAAATAGTAAAGAGAACTTACCAACTCTATCGGGGAGGACTTCGAGCGCAGATACTCTTTCATCTTTATTAAGTTCTAGTCCATAAACACAGTCAAATCCATCGTATTTTATAAGATACAAAGAAGGATTTACAGGCACCTGGTCCAGAACGGTTCCTTTCCACTGGGTGACAGGGCCATTCCCCTCCTTCCACCCATGCTGAATCCTGCAGCCTACGATGTTCCTCCGGGGCTGGGAAACGGGTTTGCTCGGCCCCACACTGCTCCGATGTTTTCTGCATTCACACATAACACACGTAAGGTATCATGTCAGAAGTACACACCCCGACCCCCAACCCTACTGCTAGCGAGCATGCTCTCCGGGTCCAGGCGCCCCCAGGGGCCCTCCGGGTCACCGTGTGCACACGTCCTGCTCCCTGTGCGCCCTGTGGGCAGGCGCAGGAACAGCACTTTGCCACAGCAACTTCACCCTGATATGGAACACGAGCATCGCTTTCTCAACTGTGAGTTTCTATTATTGCAGTCAACTCACAGTGACCTCGGTTAATCATAGATAGAGAAGGGCTGACCGCATAAAATACGCATACATGCACACGGCTTTACAGAACATGAACCCGCTTCTCGTCAAGCAGAAACGTGCAACTGTTCAATCTCACCCACTGTGGCGCCCACATAATGATCCCCCACCACCTTAATCAAGGAGAAAAAACTAGACCTTTAACTTCTCTTTAACCAGCAGTCCAGGCCGGCTGGCATCCAGGCATTACACCGTTAGTACTTCTCTAGGAAACAGACTCTGACTTGAATTTTGAAATTGTAACTTGAAACAAGACTTGAATTTTGACAAACACTTAATGTATTATCAAAAATTATTGGAGCAACACCAAACCACATTCTTTCCAGATTATTAACAATTGGAAAATCTACATGCAACGTTTACAAGCAGCACACGTGGGTCCTGGTATCAGGGAAGGCATCTGGGCTCCACCTAGGAGTCTCGGACAAGGGACCAAGCTGGGCGTGGACAGAGAGGACAGCCAGGCCCCGGGGCACTGCACATGCTCAGCCGAGAACGTCCGGTGGTCAGAGATCTCTCGTCTACACCACGAGCGAAAGTCGTAAGTGACTGGCATACACACAAACTTTGAAAAAAACAATTTATTGTAGGCTGTGATATTTAAAGCTACGATGTACGGACTTTCAAGGAGGCGAGCTGGTAAATCTAGAGGGAGTGTGACACAGAGGAACCTCGAGCGCTGCCCAACGAGGTCCGCATCTGTTGGCGCAGGCCTTTCCTCAGCAAGAGGGAGATCATCCCAGATGGAAAACTGCTCACGTCGGGTGGAAAAGGGCTCCCAAGGTTCTGAGCGGGTTTTCTGCAGGCGCCCAGCAGACCTGCCTTCCAGGAGGATGGGGTTCACAGGCTGACAAGGCGGGGGTGGGGGGGTGGTGGCTGAGAAGGGAAGACCCCACAGAGCCCTGCGGAGACAGAGGGGCTCGGAGCCCTGCAGGGGATGGCCATCCAGGGAGCCACAGCCCTCCTCACACATGGGGCCCGAGAGGACAGTGGCACGGCTGCACATGGATGACACGGAACAGTCGGGAGGCACACCCACAGGCCATCTGCCCACAAGGGAGGGAGATGGAAACCGCTCCCCACGGCCAGGCACACACCAGAGGCCAGAGCAGGGAGTGAGAACCAGAAAGGAAGCCGTTTCAGAAACGAAGACTAACCCAGAGGAGCACGGCCAACAGATGCGGCGGGCCCGCCTGGGAGGACACGACACAGCTGTGACTAATGGACATGGGCTCCTAGCTGTTGTAGGACATTAGGACACTGACGCAACTCACGGAAAACCCCGAGAGAAACAACACCCATGTGCACAGGCAGCCCTGGGAAAACAGACCCCACCTCTGACGCGAACATCCTCCAGTTAAGACAAATTCTTTAAGGAAAAGAACATCTCGTGGGCATCCAGGCACGAGGACCACATCACGGGAGAACGAGACAGTGACACTGGGGCCACCAGACAGCAGAGTTTACGGTTCTCGGCAAGGGGAATGTGAGCCAAGGCCTCCACACTGACCGCAGAGGCCCGGAAGGTTACAGGACGGTTGCGGAGAACCGAGGAGCGCCCGGGAGCTTCCCCGGCGGCCCTGGGTGCGTCCCCACGGCTGCACGAGGAAAGGGAAAGAGAGGGGTGCGCAAGGCAGGGCCACCCGCCGGACAGAAGAGCAGCTGGGACAATCGCCCTCCCTTGGATGCACGGAAGAGGCAGGGCCAAGAGCTCACGTCAGCGCTGCCCGCCCAGGAACTCGGCAGCAGCCACCGCGAACCTCAGCCCTTACGTATCGCCGGCAGAGCACAGGGATCTTCAGCATCATGTTTCTCCTCAAACAACCAATTACCATCTGTGAGATTTCAGCAGAAGTCCCAGCGATGCATGCTGTGTACAGCATCAGGCTTTCTGCACAGCAAAGGAACAGGCTGATTCCCAACCTCGCTGACTAAGGAATGCAGTCACATGCACCGTTTCCTAATTCACACAAACATTCCACCATTACTACAAAATTATAAGCAAATACAGCATTTCTGCCAGTGTGACGGTTTATCTAAATTTGTCACCCTGGCTGGGTCACAGTACTCAGCTATGTGGTCAATCATTACCCTAGATGTTTTCTGTGAAGGCATTTTTCTAGAAAGGCAACCTGTAAATCAGCAGATGGCCCACCATAATGTAGCTGAACCTTATCCAATCAGTTGAAGGTCTTAAGAAAAAGTGTTCTCACAGGAAGCAATTTTGCCCTGGGACCGGAGCTGCCACACCAGCCTCTGATCTCTCTCCGTACGTGCACAGGCACACAATCACCACGGTCCTGGCTTTTTGGAGAATACAGATCACAACCAGAAGAGCTTCTATCCTGGATTCAACCCCTCAACTAGCAGTTGACCAATCTAAAGACAGCTGTGCAAAATTACCCACCCCATTTCATTTTTCAAGAAGTAGACGTCACACCCAGCACAGAGCCCAACGTGGGACTTGAACTCACAACTGTGAGATCGTGAGCTGAGCCGAGATAGTCAGACTGACTCAGCTTAACCGACTGAGCCAGCCAGGTGCCCCTCTCTTACATTTACTCTGGATCCTTCACCCACCGTCCCTTCCTTAGCAGAGGAACACAGCACTTCCCAGCCTCTCCTCCATGATCCCACTCCCCTGACACTGCTCACCTTCCAGAAAGCCTCAGACCAAGCTCTCCTGAATTAGGTAAAACAGACAGGCTTGAATTTCAGCCTCTCTATCGAACCGATAGATAAGAAACAAATGTTTCTTCGCCTTTTCTTGAACCGTGTCTCTTTAATTAACAAGCCTTCCTATATCGGCCGTAAACGTTCGCTTCCTCTCCCGATTCCTCTGTGAGCTCTGCGGGTCGGCCTCGTCGGGGTGCGGTGGTGCCGCCCGCAGACTGCTGGTTAGCTCTCCCGCCGTGTGTGACCCTCTCTCATGCGGTCAGTGCTCCTCAGGTGCCCGACAGTCGCCGGCATTCCTGTGCTCCGTGCCAGCCGAGACCACGGCGTCTGGAGCGCGGTGTACTTCTTCAGGCCCAGCCGGGCCCCGACGTCTGAGCAGGAGGTGTGGGATCGGAGAAGCAGCAGTGACCCAGGGGGCTGCAGAGTGGCCGGGAGCGGAGCGAGCAGAGACCTTGGGACGGAGACGAGGGGCAGGCAAACCTCCTCCACGGCTGGTTTCTCCTCCGGCCACCTCGGCTGCAGCCAGCCTTTGCAGTTTCCAACCCGTACAGACTCCAGGGTCCACTCTGGATCCGCACTTTTCGGAGGGCTTCCTTTTCAACTCAAAGTGGCAGAGAGCTCCTCAGCTCAGCTTAATTTTTTTTTAATGTTTTTTTTTTTTGTTTTTTTTTTTTTTAGAGACCAAGCTAAACAAACACTCTGAGCGCATGCGGGGGGGGGGGGTGTGCAAAGAGAGAGAGGGAGACGCAGAATCCAAAGCAGGCTCCGGGCTCTCAGAAGAGCCTGCTTGGGATTCTCGGTCTCCCTCCCTCTCTCTCTGCCCCTCCCCTGCTCGCTCTGTCTCTCTCACGAAATAAACAAACTTAAAAGAAATTAAGGGCTGCCTGAATATGGCGTCGCAGACCTACATTCTCCCTGGATACACGTGTTCGTAACAGCCCTCGAGCTCGTGTGCGTCCCTGCGAAGAGTCTAGGGGGCTCTCCGGGCCCAGCCTCCAGAGGCCGACACACACACAGCGCTGCCGCAGGCGGACGGCAGGCACCTCGCTCCGGGAGGACGGCCGAACTTGCCGCCACGCGCAAATAAAGGGCTGCACTGAGTCACGATCCCAACGATTCGAGGAGGACAGCACAGAACGCCAGAGGTACGCACCTGTGAGCGCGTTGCTGGTTCTCTCCACAGCCGCCCCTGGGAACAACGGACAGGCCCCCGGGCTCTGGAGGGATGCGCTGCTGTTGGTCCTCACGACTGGGACCGGCTCTTCTCGTACGCCCATGGGGATGCCCCCGGGGAGCAGACGGGGCCGGCCAACCCCTCGGCAGAAAGCCACTCTCCCTGTACGGAAGGAGCGGAGCCTGCGTACCTCTCAGATGGGCCTCGGAGGAGACTCTGGCAGGCGAGCGACCACCCGGAGCGTGTGGGCAAGGCCCACACCTGGCCCCAGATTCCTCGATCCCAGACCTTCCAGCACACGCTCCGGGCCGCCGCTGCCCCAGGCACCATACCTTAGGGAGCACCGGTCAAAACCAACACTAGTTTCCACGTACCCATGTTCCCCAAAAGGTAAGCTGGATTGCAGGGGCATTTTCTGTGCCTTGCCGGACACTTTAAGGAAGTCTGGAACACACCCCGCTAATTGTTCTGTCACCCAGAAAAGAGATTCTGTGTTCAAAGCACATCCTCCTCCCCGGGACTGGAAGATCTTATTTTGGTGGTCAGTATTTAAAGGGACCACACTTCTTCAGCTTCAACCAGCACCATTCTGCCGTGAACCAGGAAATGCCACTCACGCACCGTGTACTATGCTGCACAAATTAATTACTGACACTTTCCTTATTCTATTTAGTACTGTCTTCTAAGAGCAGTTCCCTTACTCGTGTTGCAGCACATTTCAGAAGAAACTACTGACTGTATCAACATAATTGTCTTTTTACAAGATGCACACCAGTAAGGAGAAAGTTTTTCTGGTTCCTGTTGCTTAATAAAAGTTGTACAGCTGATGCTGCCATTGCCGGCTCAAAATGACGATATAAAAACAAGATGGGGAGTCGGGGTTCCATCCACACACTATGGGTTCTTTCATTACTCTGTCCCAGAGAATGCCAGAGCTGTCTGCGGCAACCTCCCAATGCCAAGGCCTTCCAATACACTATTCACTTCCTTGGTGTGAAAAGCACTTAAAAGTCGATTCAAAAGTATTATTCTTTTTGTCCAATTTAAGACAGCACCACACTTCATGTAGATGCCTGCTTCACTGTTACCTTGTCTGTGTAACCCGCTTTTCCAACGTGAGACAAGCAACCACTCCACGACAAAGCACGGTGTGGTGGTTGTGTGCTCTAGAATCCTGCTGTCCCCTCTGGGAGCCCTGGCTCAGTCACTTCTCAGCTGCATGACCCCAAACTGGTCAGTTAACCTCTTGCATCAAAGGGCCCAGGGCTCCTACTTGACAGGGGTGCCATGAAAAGTACCTGAGCCCACACCAGGGACTCCAGGAGGAGGAAGGGAGAGGAGGAAGAGGGGGGGACAAGGAGGATGGGAGGGGGAGGAGGGGGGGAGTTGTCTCTGTCGCTGTTGCGGTCAGTGACTGGTACTTGTGATTTAACAAATGGAAAAGCACTGGCTGGAAATACCTCTACTTAGTGTGTAATAGCCCTGGCCCATTTCTCTAAAAACACACCAAAACCCGTCGTGTTTTCTGACAGTGCCTTGAAACGGAAAGGCATCCACTACTCCAACTAGGGAAGACAAAGAACCGGATTTCTGTTTGAAAACTGCAACAAAGAACCGCTACGGCTAATCTCGCCTGAGATCCCCCCACTCTACCTTCCCTTCAAGATGCACAGCTGCCCCTTAAAGCAGGGATCAGGGCACTGACCCCCAGTATAACTTCTGACTCCCTCAAAACTTGATAGCTTGACCGGAAGCCTTACCAATTACATGAACGATTTACACACACTTTGTACACTGTATGTAACCTCTGCTGTACTCTTACAATCCAGTAAGCCAGAGAAAAGAACATATCATCAAGAAAATTATGGGGGGGGGGTGGCACCTGGGTGACTCAGTCCGTTAGGCATCCAACTTCTGCTCAGGTCATGATCTCACAGTTCATGAGTTCAAGCCCCAGATCAAACTATCTTCAGGTCCTCTGTCCCCCTCTTTCTCTGCCCCTCCCCTGCTCGTCCTCACTCTCTCAAAAATGGGGAAAGAAAGAAAGGAAGGAAACGAAAGGAAGGAAAGGAGAAAGGCAGAAAAGGAGGAAGGAAGGAAGGAAGGAAGGAAGGAAGGAAGGAAGGAAGGAAGGAAGGAAGGAGAAAGAGGAAAGAAGAAAGGAAAAAGGAAAGGAAAGGAAGGAAGAAAGGAGAAAGAGGAAAGAAAGGAAGAAGGAGAGGAAGGGAGGGAGGGAGGGAGGGAGGGAGGGAGGGAGGGAGGAAGGAAGGAAGGAAAGAAAGAAAGAAAGAAAGAAAGAAAGAAAGAAAGAAAGAGAGAGAAAAAAAGATCACAAGGAACAGAAAATACGCTCATAGTTAGTTCTGTGCCGTACTTAAATCCGGGCACAGGTGGCCCTGTGCTGCTTGATCCCATGTTGTTCAAGGGCCAAGTATACTTTCCCTGCGGATGCATTTCCCAAACGACGTCCTGCAAAGCTGGGAAAGGCCTGCCTGCCAACTTGTTCCCAAAATGTAGTGGGGGGCCTGGTCGGCAGGAGGCATGGAAGTGTGCTGCCTTCACTTTAAAAACCAGAACAAGATGCGGCTACACAATGTCCCTGGTCTGCTGCAGCAATGCTCCCACTGCCACGGACCCGACTCCGAGTCCTGCTGATACCCACGGGGACGGGGCTGCCACACTCGTCCCCTGGAGCTCCTATGACTCCTGTCGCACGTGCAGTTACTGCTCAGATTCCCAGAAACACAGGAGGCGAGAGGAGACAAGGCCACAGGTCAGCGGCTGCAGGCGGTGGGTCCCTTGTGCCTTTCCTCGCTCGCTGTTGGGCCACAGTGGAGGCAGCAAGGGCAGAATGAGGCTCCGGGTCTGCTTTTCTGTTCGTGGTTTCCATAAACATCTTGCTGGCAGAAAGCCTTGTCTATAGAGAAAAGCTGACGCCCCACCATTCCAGTCCAGACCAGGATTTTTAGGCGCGGTAAGCAGGGTCCCAGGCAGACAGAGGAACGTGCCAAGGTGCCCAGCTGAACCACCCAGCTCCCCGCTTCGAGCCAGCTCCTGCCCAGGGGCCTCGCCACCAGCCTTGTGGGCCCATCCAGAGGCAGTGAGCAATGGCCACCTGTTGTGAAATGTGCAGACTCTTTCTTTCCAACCGTCTTCAGATGTGCACAGAGGTCAGAAGACAGGCGAACAGGACTGAGAGTGTGTCCTTTCTTCCCGTGGCGCCCTCTGGCTACAGAGTACCAAGTTCAAGGCTGTCTACTGAAAGCTTGTTTTCACTGAAACAAGCACCCGACTGAGCTCCCTGCATTGCAGAGCACAGGGGAGCAGATTCTCAGAAGTTTTAACAGATAGGCGTTTATTCATTGTGCTTGGGGGGGGGGGGGGGCATTACCAGCACATCAGAGCCACGAGTCCACGGAAAGCAGTGCTTACGAGCAGGCATGTGAAACCCTCGCACAAACCCAAGAATGCCTGAAATCCTAACTAAAGGAACTTCCAACCAGAGATATCCAGAAATGTGTAAAAATGGGTAAAACTGAATGCACATTACACTCTGAAAGCCAGTTATTTTAAACTAACTGGTAAAATCTATTTTGCACGAACTGTTCTGGTCTTGCAAATCAACATCTAACTTGCTTCTCTTCCCCCACTAAGTTTTTATCATTACCTGATATTACAGCTTGTATTTGTTTTGTTACCTCCCACTTGGGCCAAGAGATGGCTGATTACTTATGGCAATGGTGCGCCATGAGTGGAGATAGAGTACATAGATTACCAGCTCGGTGGGCGTGGCAGAACCACGAACATTAGTAATGGGCATATCAATGAAATCTGGGAAATGCCTTATCAACCCTCAGGGACACACAGACCTCAACTTCACAGTTTTACACTGTAGGACACTTCGTGAACCTAACCTGACAAATATTTACATCACTATGCATGCACGCATTTACACGGGAGGCACGTGTGCTCAGATCAGCGACATTACGGAAGGGCACGTTTAACGTCATCCAGATGTGCCACCGCAGCCAAGGCGCCCTGGGCCCTTCGACCACACAGGGTGGTGACTTCGGTATGAACAATTTGGAAAGAACTGCTATACTGAGAGGCTCGGGAGGTGCCAGCTAGGGTCAGAGGGCCTGGTCTGTAGTTAACAGTCTACCATCAAGACCAAACGATCAGAACCTACTTGTTAGAGCAGCGCCCTTTTAAAATATCTTTCAACAGGCATATTCTTTCTCTAGATTTCAAGCTTCTCATGTACTTGAAAATGTAGAAAAGCAGTGAGCAAGCAGCTGTCGGCATACTACTCAGGCCCTCCAGCCACAAGGCCCTCCTTGTCAGCAGCGCATCCGAGACGCAGCCAAGAACCTGCATGCCCAGAGCACGCAGCCCTTCCCAGGAGGGAAGCGGGAGAGCGCCGCCCTCACCACTGGGGCTTCCTGCAGACAGCGCAACCCCTGGGAGCTGGAGGGGAAATCATCGCCCGGAGGCTTTCCAGAGTGGAAGGACAGGCCTAGGCAGCCATAGGACAGGCCAAAGACAGGGGGCATGACCTGCTCGGCACGGAGAAGAGGGCAGCACGATGGCATCTCAAGTCCTACGTCACCTAAGGCCACAACCTGTTATCTAAAAGCAAGTTTCAGAGTTGCTTACTTGTGGGACGTCCTTTTCTTCATCATGCTTGCAGACACACCAGCATGGCCTAAAAGAGAAGTGAGCATAAGTCAATAAAAACTGGACACAAAAATACTTCAGACCTTGGAAAAAATGAACTTCTAAAAAACTGCTATGCAAAGCATGAAATGGGGCGTCTGGGTGGCTCAGTCAGTTAGGCGTCCGACTTCAGCTCAGGTCATGATCTCATGGTCCGTGGGTTTGACTGCCGCACTGGGCTCTGTGCTGACAACTCAGAGCCTGGAGCCTACTTCGGATTCTGTGTCTCCCTTTCTCTCTGCCCCTTCCCCACTAGGGCTCTGTGTGTGTGCCTCTCTCTCAATATAAACAAACAAACAAAAAAAAAAAAGGCATGAAATGAAAATAAGCCATAAAGAGCCAACCTGTAGGAAGTCATTTGTTTATTTAATTGTTAAGAAGGAAATAAAGGGGCGCCTGGGTGGCGCAGTCGGTTAAGCGTCCGACTTCAGCCAGGTCACGATCTCGCGGTCCGCGAGTTCGAGCCCCGCGTCGGGCTCTGGGCTGATGGCTCGGAGCCTGGAGCCTGCTTCCGATTCTGTGTCTCCCTCTCTCTCGGCCCCTCCCCCGTTCATGCTCTGTCTCTCTCTGTCCCAAGAATAAATAAATGTTGAAAAAAAAAAAAAAAAGAAGGAAATAACAGGGGTTCTAGGAAAATAAGATAGCAAGGACAACAGCTCATCTCCCCAGATCTGCCATAAAAAACCCAAAATCACATGGAACAAAAAACACAACACAAGTGACAATCTGGCCGTAAAGTACTAAGTTACAGAAGCTGTCTTCCTGCGACAAGCCACTAGAAAGCGGGCAGATGTGAGACACCTAGACCCAGGCACCGCACGGCTGAGGCACAGGACCACAGCACCAGAAGGCTGTGCACCCGCCCGGCCCGCGGTATCAGAGTGATGTGCAGACCCGGCCCACAGGGGGGCAAGGAGAACGGGATGGTTGTGCCCCGGGCTGGGAGGACAAAGGGGCGGGGGCGGGGGGGGGGCGCAGAGTGCTGGTGAATGGGGTCTCAGAGGGACTCCAAACATCTGGGGGTGGAAAGGGATGGCAGCTGTTCAAAGTCCAGCCAGCCACCTCTTCAAACCCCTAGGGCAGTTGGTAAAAACCACACAGAGGTGACCCCTCAGCAAGAGGGCTGCTCCAGACCCACCCGGGCATCTGGTGGCCAGAACAAAGTCCGAGCACGGCCACACAGTCCCAACGCGCCACCACACGTCTCAAATGGCCCGCACCCCAACAGAGGCCACTCGACACGCAGGAAAGTGGCAGACCATACCCCACGCCAAGGGGGTTACAACCAGAATGTAATTAACAGCAAAGATGTTAAAAGAGCTATAATGTGCTCAAATATATAAAGGACGACAGACAATACTCAAAACAGAAAAATGTGGGGAAGAAAAGGAAAGAAATAAATGAAAGTGGTGAAAACACATGATCTGAAATGAAGACGAGTGGACACGGTTAACAGCGGACCGGACCCAAAGACGGTGGGGACAGGAGCGGCCGTGGGGACCCTCACGGCCCGTGTCAACTGGCCTGACACACGGCAAACGGGATGGCTTACCACACCCACGAAGGGAGGAGCGCACCGGGAGAGAAGGAAGAGCTAGAAGCAGCAGTGGCAGAGAGTTCTCCAGATGTGGTGCGCACACAGCCACGTGGCCACACAGCCAATGAGCTCAGCCACGCCCACGTGGGATGAAAACAAGGATGAACCTGCCAGGGCGCATCCTAATCACAGTTCTGGAAACCAGTGGCCGGTGAAATACTTTAAAACAGCCTAACAGGGGCGCCTGGGTGGCTCAGTCGGTGAAACGTCCGACTTTGGCTCAGGTCACAATCTCATGATTCACAGGTTCGAGCCCTGCGTTGGGCTCTGTGCTGAGATTGCGGGGCCTGCTTGGGATTCTGTCTCACCCTCTCTCTCTGCTCCTCTTTTGCTCACACACACACACTCTCTCTCTCAAAATAAACAGTAATATTAAAAAAGAAACAACACAGAGAAACGAACACAATACTGGCTCCAGATCCACTGCCAGAAAGAGCGTGAGCCCAAACAGAAGACAGTGGAGAAAAACTCATGGACTCAGAGCACTATCTCCGGCCAAAGGAGCTTCTAGCCTCAACGGTACAGATAATGGCATCAAATGAAGACTGTCCAAACACGAATTCAGAGACTATATAAAAAAGGATGGGACAACTGCTAGCACCACACAAATTAACCTCAGGACAAAGTTATCAGGGATCAAGACAACATTTCAAAACGGTAAGAGTCAATCAAGAAGCCGGCACATTTCACAGGTTGACGGTACGTGCACTGGGTACAGAACACTGGAGTTCATGAAGGAAAACCCGACGGCCCTGACAGGAAAAATCAACACATCCACAATCAGACATTCAGACGTGAGCTCTCCTCTCTCAGTCACGGAAGTAAGGAGTGGGTGGAAAATCAGACAGGACGCAGAAGACCAGAACACCACAAAGAGCCTACACTACACGGGTTTTTTCCCCCAAGTTCACCTGAGATGTTCACTCAGACACACCATCTGCCACCCAAAGCACAAACCCTCCATGCACTTAAAACAACGTGAACTCCTAGGAAGTTTGTTCTCTTACCACATCAGAAGGGAAAGAGAAATTAATAATATCTGGAAACACCCCTGTTTTTGAAAATTAAACCACAATCTTGTTTAATCCACAGTTCAAGGACAAAATCACAATGAAATTTGACCTTGAAGAAAATCAAACTGGAAACGCTATCCGTGGGATGCGGCAAAAGCACCCCTGACTACAGTGATCGAAATCCACGCCAGGCAGCAAAATATAAAGAAAACAAAGAACGTGTGACCACAAGCTCAGTCTAGCGGTCCCCTGACTGGAAGAAGGCGGCTCCGGGGTTATCTGCAAATCCGCCATCCCTGGCCGTCCCTGAGAGCGCACATGCTCACACACACTTCCTTACTTCCACTTACAATTCCAAAGTGAAGCGAACAAGCAGACACACGGCCAACCGGTCAGTGCAGGGCTGTCTGTCCCTGTTCATGAAGACAGTGAGACAGGCAGGTCCCGGGTGCCCAGTGCCGTCCTCCCCGCTGTCCCCAGCGGCCCAGGCACCCCCACGCAGACAAGCAGACAGCTCACGGACAACGGAAGACAGCCTGGAAGGACACCAAACTTTCCTGAACGCCCCACCCCCCCGCCGCCGTCACCCCGGAATGTCTCTAGGCTTGGGGTGGACAGGATGAGGAGAGCAGACAGGCAAACAGACCCGACGGTACAGGATCGCTGGGGGTCCACGGTAACTACCCTACCCCCTTGGTGTCAGGGCCACCTTGCCTCCCACATGGAGCTCACTGGGACAGGGCAGCCGGCCTTGCACCTGTCTGCCCCCGCCCCCACGTGCCAGGCAACGCTGGGGCCCACCTGTCACCTCGTGTCCCAACGGGGCTCGCTCTCCCGCCACAGGAGGGCTGTGGCAAGATCACCGGAGAGGAGCGAGCCGCTCCCAGGGAAGCCTCTGCTCTGGCGAACGGGCATCGACACTCGTGGAGACACGGCCCCTTGGGTGCAAACGCTCCAGGCTGGGTGCACCACCACATGTGCAAGGACCCCGGAGCTCTGCAGATGGACTAGGAGGACGCACGGCAGTCCTCAAGGCCACCGAGGCCTTCACAGTCACCACACAGGGCCAGAGGCATGAACACGGAGAGCGGGAGCTCTCGGAAGCCTGCACGTGAGGAGTGGAGTCCTCCCTCTGCCCGAACAGGGGAGAAGCTGCACAAGATCAGGAATCTTTCAAGTGGCCAGAGGAGGAGTCCCAGGGTTGACAGAGACAGGCCTGCAGAGGGACCCACACGGCGCCTCGGGCAGAGCTTGCAGGGGGAGCAGGTGGAAAAGCCAACCCACAGCCTCCGCGCCCACAAGTTGGGGCCCAGCCCCCAGTGGCCAATCTTGGCAGGAAGGGAGGGAGGGTCCACGTGCTCCCGGGTTTCACCTCTGGGAGTGCCGCAGTTCCAGGTGAGGCGTGGGGGGGGGGGGGCGGGCGGGAGGGGGGGGGCGGAGGGGGGGAGAAAACCCCCCTCCAGCCCCCAGTAGAGGGAGGGGAGAAAGTAGCCATTCAGAGACAGAACAAAGTGTTTGGTTCTTAACAAGGCCCATCCCCAAGAGCCCAATCCCTGCCCAAGGGCAGGGAGATTAAAAGTCCAGCTGCCCCGGGTCCTGTCCCACAGCGGACAGGAGGAGGACACGAGGGTCAGCCAGTGGTACAGACCCATTAAGACACGAGGCCTAGTTAGAGCACTACAGAACGTATCCCGCCCCCCACGCCCCATCGAAGGTCACTAAAGGCTTGTGAGCTCCTTTCATCTGGCACATCCTGTCCAACTTGGTCAAAAACTTATAAAGCACATGAAAAAGGAAACAACACGGTTTGAAGAGACAGAAAGCACAGGAACCAGACTCTGGCATGACGGGTGGTGGAACGATCACTCCAAGAATTCCAAGTAACTATCAAAATTAAGCTAGAGGTTCTAATGAAAAAAAGTAGACAACGTGCAAGAAAAAAATGAGTAATGTAAAAAGAAAGGTAGAAATTATCAGGGAAAAAAAAGACGGCAGAGGTCAAAACACCAGAACAGAAATGAAGAATGTGTATGAGGGACTCCTGATGGAGAAAGTGCAATCCAAACTACAAAAAGCAGGGAAACGTGGGAGAGAAAGTAGAAGAAAACACAGGGCAAGGAACAGGGCGCAGTAAGAAACAGAGCAGACGTTAATCCAGTGAGCCCCAGACACGGCTGAGAAAAGAGTCTCTGAGCCGCAGGACATGCCAACAGAAAGGTCCAAACCTGAAAAGCAGAGCAAAGGACAGGAAAAAACAAATCAGAATATCCAAGGACCGTGGGGCGACTACAAAGAAGTAACATGTACAAGGGGAATGCCAGGAAGAAAAGATGGAGACGGAGCAACAGAAGAAAACAGTCAAAGCAATAATGACTGAGG